AAAGAGAGAGAGAGAGAGGAGGAGAAAGAATATCGTAAGCCTCGTTTTGTGTATGTGTCTATTCCTTCATAATTGAATTTATGGAATGCTAGATCCACTGCAAAAATATTATAGATAAATAAAAAAATTAAAGTAAAAGAAGTTGACCCATATTCGAAGAAGAGAGGAGAGGGACATAGCAACAGAGGGTGAGAAACCGACGAAAGACAAAAGGAAAGAAAGAAATATGGACAAATAGAGGAGGAAGGGTCTACGTAAAAAAAGAGACTAAATGAGTAGTAAAAAAAAACGAAAACAAGCAGACAGAAAAGAAAAGAAAGAAAGAAGCAAAAAAAAACAAGAGAGATGGAAAGGAAGAAAAACCAAAGCAAACAAAATGAAAGAGGAGCGAAAGAAAAACAGAGAAAGAAAGAAAGAAGAAAGAGAGAGACAAGAAGACAAATTACCGAAAGAAAGACAGAGAAAGAAAAGAAAAAAGAGAGACGACAAGAGAAATTACCGAAAGAAAGACAGAGAAAGAAAGAAGAAAAGAGAGAGGACAAGAGAAATTACCGAAAGAAAGAAAGAAAGAACAGAAGGAAGAAAGAAAGAAAGAGAGAGGACAGCAGAAATTACCGAAAGAAGAGAAGAAAGAGAAAGAAGAAAGAGAAAGAGACAAGAAGACAAATTACCGAAAGAAAGACAGAGAAAGAAAGGAGGAAAGAAGAGAAATTACCGAAAGAAAGAAAGAAGAAAGAGAGAGAGACAAGAAGAGAAATTACCGAGAGTGACATGATTCGCCGCCACCGTCTCCCGTCTTCTCGAAATCTCACGACCGCCAGAACCGGCCTCTGCAACGGACCTTCTTAACCGTCGTTTTATTTCCTTTTCATTCTCCTTCGATATGTCCTTAAGGTAGAGATTTTATCCATTTTTTCCCCTCCCCCCCTTCCTCCCTCTCTCCCTCCCCTTCCTCCCTCTCTCCCTCCCCTTCATCTCTCTCTCCTTCCCCTTCCCCTCTCTCCCTCTCTCACTCCCCTCCTCCCTCTCTCCCTTCCGTTCCTCCCTCTCCCTCCCTCCCTCTTCCTCTCTCCCTCCCTCCTCCCTCTCTCCCCTCCCCTTCTCCCTCTCTCCCTCCCCTCCCTCTCTCCCTCCCCTTTCCTCCCTCTCTCCCCCTTCCTCCCTCTTTCTCCTCCCCTTCCTCCTCTCTCCCTCCCCTTTCCTCCCTCTCTCCCTCCCCTTCCTCCCTCTCTCCCTCCCCTTCCTCCCTCTCTCCCTCCCCTTCCTCCCTCTCTCCCTCCTCTTCCTCCCTCTCTCCATCCCCTTCCTCCCTCTCTCCCTCCCCACCTCAAGGGACGTCCTTCTTCGGGGATGATCCTTCACCCTTCCCTCCCTCCTGTCTCCCAACCCCCCCCAGCCCTCCCCCTCCTTTCCCTCCATCTCTTCCCTTGTTCTTTGCCCTCGCCGTCTTCCCTGCGTTCCCCCCCCCCCCTCCTTCCTTCTGTTTCCCCTCTCCAGTTCTCTCTTCCCCCCCCCCCTGTCCCCTTCCCTCTTACCCTCCTCCTGTCCCCTTCCCCCTCCCCATCCCCCTTTCCCCATCCTCCTTACCCTCCTCCTATCCCCTTCCCCCTCCCCATCCCCCTTTCCTTCCCCAGTCCCCTCCCTGTTCCCTCGCCCCCGTCCCCCCAAATAGGGTGCCCCCCCCACCCCGTGATGTTTCTCCCAGTGAGGGCTCCCTTCATCTCCGTAATATTGATCGAAGGAACGGCGATGAGGGGAAGTGGCGGAGGGGGAGAGGGGAGGGAGAGGGGAGAGGTCCAGGGGAAGGAGTGGAGAGAGGGAAGGAGTGGAGAGGGGAGCGGAGGGGCCCGGGGAAGGAGTGGAGGGAGAGGGAGAGAGGAGGGGAGGGAGGGGTACCGGGGATGGAGGGGAGAGGGGAGGGTCCCGGGGAAAGAGGAGGGAGGGGGAGGGGGGTAGGAAAGAGGAGGGAGGGGAGGGGTCCCCGGGGAAAGAGAAGGAGAGGGGAGGGGGTAACGGGGATGGAGGGGGAGAGGGGAGAGAGGAGGGAGAGGGAATGGTACATGGAAAGAGAAGAAGGGTGGGGTACCGGGGAAGGAGAGGGGATGGGGGAGGGTAAGTGGGAGGATGTAGGGGGGGAGGGGAGAAGCGAGAGGGGGGGTGATGGGGTGGCAAGGGGATGAGATAGAGGTCGGGTTAGTGATTAAGAGGGGAAGAAAGAAAAAAAAGAGAGAGGGAAAGAGATGAGATAAGAGAATAGAAGAGAGGAAAGAGATTAGAGAAGAAGGAAGAAGAGAAAAGAGAAAAAGAAAAAAGAGAAGAAGAGAATAAGAAGAGAGGAAAGAGATTAGAAAGAGGAAAAATAAGAGAAGTGCGTGCGTGCGGCGTTGCGGTGTGTGTGTGTGTGTGTGTGTGTGTGTGTGTGTGTGTGTGTGTGTGTGTGTGTGTGTGTGTGTGTGTGTTGTGTGTGTGTGTGTGTGTGTGTGTGTGTGTGTGTGAATGCATGTATGTTTGTATGAACATAATGTAAACATGCACGTATGTATGTATATATGTATGCACGCACGTATGTATGAAATTATGTACGTGCTATGAATGTATCTATCTCTGCACGTATGTATGTATGTATGCATCCATGTATGTATGTATGCATCCATGTATATATGTATGTATGCATCCATATATATATGTATGCATGCATCCATGTATGTACGCATGATTATACATGTGAATAAGTACCGTAGACTTAGGTAATATCACTGCCCAGGAACCAATCAGGCTTAATGAGGAAATGATTAAGAACAGCTGATCTGTGGCCGAGTCGAGTACTCCCGGGAGAACAGGAGATCCTTCCTTTCTCTTTCATTTATTTTTTTTTTTTCGTCTTATTATCTTTTTCTCGTTTTTTTCTGTTTTTTTGTTGTTGTTGTTTTTTTCTTTGCTTTATTTTTTTTTTCTTTCTTTTCGTTTTCTTTATTTTTCTTGTTTTTTCTTCTTGTTTTCTTTTTTCTTTTCTTCTTTCGTTTTTCTTTTCTTTTTTTTTTTTCTCCGTTTTTTGTTTTGTTTTCGACTCTCCATCTTTTCTCCCTTTCTTCTCTCTTTCTCTTCTCCCTCTTTCTTTCCTTTATCTCTCCCCTTTTCTTGCCCTTTTCCCTCCCTCTTTCTTAACTTTCTCTCTCTTTCTTTCCCTTTTCTTTTCTTTTCTTTCATTTTATCTTCCTTTTTCTTTCATTTTTTCTCAATTTTCTTTCCCTTCTCGTTTCCGCTTCTTCTTTCCTTTCTTCCCTCCTTCTTTTCTTCGCATTTTCTCCCTTCTCTCCCTGCCTCTCTCCTCCTTTCTCCCTCACCCCCTTCTTTCTTTCTCTTTTCACCCTCTCTCCTCTCCCCCTATTCTAAATTATCCATTCATTTATCTCTCTCTCTACGTAGCATATTAAAAAAAAGTAAATGGATTAGGAAAAAAACTAAAGATAATTGTTAATGTTTTTTTTTTTCAAATTGATAGATGACATGGATTGCTGTTCATCTTTGTTCCTTGGGTTATGGAGTTTTGTTTTTTGTCACAGCGTGTTCATTCGTGTTCATAACGTTCTTTAAAACTTGTTCAAATGAACTTCGTAATCTCCCTAACGCTTTGTAATTCGTTTTATTTTTATTTTTAGTTTTAGTTTTAGTTTTATTTTTCATTTTAATTCGCATCCGTTATATCGTTAAAATATAAAAATCTTGTTCTGATGCACATTGCTCTCTCCACTTCAAAATCTTTCTGTCTTCCACACTCATTTGTTCTTCATTCCACTTAATATACTCCATACCAGAATCTTTCCTTCATCCACATACTCTTTCACTCCAGTCTGTAGTCTTTTGCTCATCCACACTCACACTTTTTTCTCATCCGCATAACCCAGTCCACTGTAAACTCTTTTTCTCATCCACACAACCACTCCACATCAAACTATCCCTCATCTACACTCGTATTTTCCTCATCCACATTTTTCTCATTCTTCTTTCATCCACATTTTTCTCATTCTTCTTTCATCCACACAGCCTCTACACACCAAACTCTCTTCCTTATCCACACTCACCACTCCACACCAAATTCGTTCTTCCATCCACAGCATACTCCACACCACTCTTTCCCTCATCCACTACCTACACTCCACTCCAAACTCATTTCCTCATCCACACAACCCTTCCACACCAAAGTGATCCCCCATCCACACTCACACACTTTCCCTCATCCACACAACCCACCCTCATTCCCTCATCCACACTGACCCTTCCACTCCACAGTCCTCTCCCCCATCCACACATACACCTTCCTCCTCCACCCTTCCCCTCACCCGCGCTAACCACTCCACTTCTCCTTCCATCCACCACAGGAACAAGAAGAGATTCCACCACCAGGCCTTAGTGGAAGTCAAGATCCTGGACCACCTGAGGAGACGCGACGGCGACCACCACCACAACGTCATCCACATGCTGGACTATTTCTACTTCCGGAACCACCTGTGTATCACCTTCGAGCTTATGGGGTGAGTGGAAGGGTGGAGGAGGAGGCGGGTGGAGGAGGAGGAGGGTGGAGGGAGGAGGGTGGAGGGGAGGAAGAAGAGGGTGGAGGAGGAGGAGGGGAGAAGGGGGAGGAAGAAGAGGGTGGAGGAGGAGGAGGGAGGAGGAGGAGAGGAGGGGGAGGAGGAAGGAGGAGAGGAAGAGAAAAAGAAGAAGAAGAAGAAGAAGAGGAGGAGGGAGGAGGAGGAGGGTGGAGTATGGAGATGTAGGGTAGGAGGGGTGGAGGGTTGAGGAGGGGAGGAGGATGGAGGAGGAGGGTGGAGGGGTGGGTAGAAGAGGTGGAGAAGGTGGATAGTGTAGGTGGATGTGGATAGTCATGGTGCATATAGACGTGGATTAAAATAGGTGGAAGTGAAGGTGGAGAAGGAAGCAGGGAAGCTGGAAAGTGTAGGTGGAATGAAGGTGGATAGTGAAAGTGGAAGGAAAAGGTGGAGCAAATGGAGGAAGAAGTGGAGGAAATCAAAGACAAGATACAGTAACTGGAAGTGATAATAAGGGAGGTGAAGGTGGAACAGGTGGAACAAATAACACTGGAGAAAGTGGAGCCAAGATTGAACAGAAGGTTAAACAGGTGGAAGAGTAAGTTCAGCAGGTGAGGGTGGAAGTAGGTGATGTAGAAAATTGAGCAGGTGAAGGTGAAACAAGAGCAGGTGGGAGAGTAGGTCCAGCAGGTGAAAGGTGAGCAGGTGATCGAGAAGGTTCAGCAGGTAGAAGACTGATTTGAGCAGGTGAAGGAGAGGGTGGAGCAGGTAGGAAAGGAGATCGGGAAGGTGGAGCAGGTGATGGAGAAGATGGAAGATTAAGCAGGTGAAGTGAGGGGTTAGATGATGGAAAGTGTGAAGGTGAAGGAGGAAGGAGATGGATTAGGGGAAGGAGAAGGGTGGAGCAGGTGGTAGAGGAAGTGGAGCAGGTGAAGGAGAAGGTGGAGCAGGTGGTGAAGGTAGAGGAGATGGAATAGGTGGTAGAGTAGGTGGAGCAGGTGGTAGAGGAGGTGGAGCAGGTGGTAGAGGAGGTGGAGCAGGTGGTGGAGGAGGTGGAGCAGGTGTAGGAGAAGGTGGAGCAGGTGGTAGAGGAGGTGGAGCAGGTGAAGGAGGGCTGATGATGGAGAAGGTGAAGCAGATAAAAAAATTAACTTTGGTAGAGCTGCTGGTGGAGCAGGTGAAGGAGGAGGTGGAGCAGGTGTAATAAAAGACTGGGGAGAAAGGAGGAACTGCCGGAAAAGGATATAAAACAGATGGGAATAATAAAAAAGGTTGACTGACCTGTGAAAGAAATCAATTTTAAAAATATGTATTCCTTTTCATATTAATCATTATCTTAATCTTTCTCATAATTACTGTTTTCATGCTGATTTATTTGTGAAATAATTTGTAATCTGTTTACAATTCAGCCACGTCAACATTTTCAGAAGTTCGAAAAAAAGTTAGGAATTCTCACAGGTTCACTTATGAAATAGATTGATACTCATTAATTCAATTATTTGATTAATTTGATTTTGCTTCTCCCCCCCAAGATCATTATAATGCAGATTTGATTGTATTATATATATTTATATGTCTATGCTCATGTTCAGAAGAAATATATTTATTGAAAATAAGAAAAAATGTGGCTATTGCTAAAAGAATAATAAAAACCATGAAGTAGGAAATCAAATGATAAATTCAGTGTTTTTTTTCTTCTAAATCTGTGCATGATTGTAGATTTAATAGATAATGTAATTAATTGTTATATAAACCTTTATTTATGATCATGGATGTAAAGTTCCATTTCTGTCTCTTGATTTTATGAAATTAAATTTGTTACTGTTATTATATTTTCATTTTTTTAATTGTGTGCGTTTGTGTGTGGTTTTGATATGCTAATATTTTGGCTTTATCTTTTGTTCTATCAAACTCACTCTTCTGTTAATTCCTCCTCCCTCTCCTCCCTCCCTCACTATTGATCATCTATTAATCCCTCCCCTTGTCTCTCTCTCTCCGTCACTCACGTTCCCTCTCCATGCCTCCCTCTCTTTTTCTCTTTCCCTTCCTCTCCTTCTCCCTCCCTCAATACCTCCCTCCCTCCCCTCTCTCTCCCTCCTTCCCTCCCTCCCACCCACCTCTTCTCCCTCCTCCCTCCTCCCTCCCCCCCTCCTTCTATCTCCCTCCCTCCCTCCCTTCTATCTCCCTCCTTCCCTCCCTCCCACCCTCCCACCCATCTTCCTTCCCCCTTCTCTCGCCTTATCTCTCTCCCTCCCTCCAACTCATTTATTAATCCCTCCCCTTTTCCTCCCCTCCTTCCCCCTCCCTCCCCTCCTTCCCCCTCCCCTTCTCTCTCCTTTTCTCTTTCCCTCCTCTTCTTTCTCCCACCAACCCACCCACCCCTCCTCCCTCCCTCCCTCCCTCCCTCCCTCCCTCCCTCCCTCCCTCTCCTCCCTCCCTCCCTCCCTCCCTCCCTCCCTCCCTCCTCCCTCCCTCCAACTCATCTACTAATCCCTCCCCCTTCTCTCTCCCTCCCCCCAACAGCCTGAACTTGTACGAGCTGATCAAGAAAAACAATTACCAGGGCTTCAGTCTCAGTCTCATCAAGCGCTTCGCCTTCTCCTTGGTGCAGTGCCTCAAGTTGCTGTACCGGGAAAACATCATCCACTGCGACCTGAAACCTGTGAGTACTGGGGGTGTGGGTGTTGGTGGATGGGAGGGGGTGGGTGGGGTGGGTGGGGTGGAGAGGGAGGTGTGGGTGTTGGGGAGTTGGGTGGGTGGGAGAGGGAGGTGTGGGTGGGAGATGTGGGGTGGGGTGGGTTGGGAGAGGGTGTGGGTGTTGGGTGGGGTGGGTGGGAGAGGGAGGTGGGGGTGTTGGGTGGATGTTGGGGTGGGTGTGGATGTGAGAGGGGTGTGTGGTGTGGATGTGAATGTTGGGTGGATGTTGGGGTGGGTGTGGGTGTTGGGTGGGATGTGGGGTGGGTGGGTGGGAGAGGGAGGGTGGGTGTTGGGTGGATGTTGGGGTGGGTGTGGGTGGGAGGGGTGTGTGTGGGTGTGGATGTTGGGTGGTGATTATGGGTGGATGTTGATATGGATTGGGAGGGGGGGTGGGTGTGGATCGTGGATGGGTGGTGTGGATGTTGGGTTGTGGATTTAGGTGGATATGAGTGTTTGGATTTAGGCGGGGTGAGAGGTGGGTTAGTCCCTCCCCGTGTGGATGCAAGTGGATGTGGCAGGGTGTGTGTGGGTTAGGTGAGGCTGTTTATGTATTTCGGAGAATTGTGTGTTTATGTTTGTTTGTGTGCGTGTGTCTGTATGTATGTATGTATTTATGTACCCTTTATATAATTATCTAATTATACCTATTTTCTTGTAATGTTTCTATTCTCAGACAAGCACAAATTTCCTCATTTTTTCTATGCAACGCTTGGCAGATTCGTGGATTATAAAAAAAAACTTATTATTGCACGCGATCCACAGGGCTATATTGGGCGGATGAAAATCATTAATGGCGAGATAGATTAGCAAGATTATATTTAGCCCGAAATAACTTGGTTGGCTCAATAGGGTCTGGTATTGCTTCGTGAAACCGGCTCTGTGTTGCACTGA